ATTTTCTTGTTGTTTCTAAAATGGATACTAAACAAACCTGTGTTTGTTAAAACTTTGTGAAGACTGCTACAACCATATACCACAGACTAGCTGAATCAAATATGTAGGCAGTACAAGTCAAGGCCAGATTGTGGTTGGCAGGTTTGGTTTCTCTGGGAGTTTCTCTCCCAGGCTGGTAGAGACAACTTCTTGCTGTTTCTTCAGATGGTCTTTTCTCTGCATGCATCTGCTCCTGCTGCTATAAGGATACAAGTCACATTGGATTAGGGCCCCACTTATTGGTCTCTTTTGAACTTAGTCAACTCTTTAAAGGCTCTATCTCCAATTGCAGTTACATCCTGAGATCCTGTGGTCAGGGCTTCCATATATGAACTTGTGAAGGATGCAATTTAGCCTAGGACACTTGGTATGGAAACAAAAGCCTTTTCCATCTCTGGGATTTTCTTTGTTCTGGTACAATTCAACATACAAGGAGAACAGTGGAGAAGCCTGTCTCACTTCTCTCCCAATAAAATATAAGCTATGTAAGTGTTGAAATTATTATTTTTAAAGATTTTATTATTATTATTATTATTATTTTAAAATAGGGCTAGAGAGAGAGAGAGTTGGTTTGAGACAAAGGTCTTCCATCCACTGGTTCACTTCCTAAATGGCTGCAAAAGCCACAGCTGGGCCAGGCCAAAATTAGGAGCCAAGAGCTTCTTCTAGGTCTCACACATGGGTGCAGTGACCCGCTTCTGTTGCTTTCTCAGGTACTTTATCAGGGAGCTGGATCAGAAATAAAGCAGCCAGGTCTCGAACCAGTGCCGACTACCATAATGTAGGCAGTGACTTAACATGCTACTCCACAATGCCAGCCCCCAAAACACTGAAATTATTTTTAAAAACCTACTAATTTCCAGAGATGTGCTCTTTATTTATTTATTTTTTAATCAGAAAGACAGATTTACAGAAAGGAAGAAATACAGAGAGGAAGATCTTCCGCCCACTGGTTCACTCCCCAAGTGGCTGCAGTGGCCAGAGCTGAGCCCACCCAAAGCCTGGAGCCAGGAGCTTCTTGGTTCCCCATGTGGGTGCAGGGTCCGAAGGCTTTGGGCCATCCTTGACTGCTTTCCCAGCCCACAAGCAGGGAGCTAGATGGAAAGTGGAGCAGCCGGGACATGAACCAGTGCCCATATGCAATCCCAGCAGATGTAGGATGAAAACTAGCCACTAGACTACCACACCAGACCCAGGAGATATGTCCTTAACGTTGAATGCCAGGGTGAGTAGCTGGCAAGTGCTAACCTCTGGCCAATTCTGTGGTCTCCAGCTATTGAGACGACTGGCAGAGGTGAGAGGCAGGCCATATTGCACAGCATTTTCTGGTATAAGACATGACAGACCACACTTCAGGAATTGCTGCCCTTGCCTTTGCCCTGGAGTGCCTCCTGGCCCTAGTGTGCAGCTGCCTGTCATGCCACACTCTAGCTTAGAGGGAAGCAGCATATGTAAGCCACGTCTAGTGAGTGGACAACCTCCTTCCCAGCCCAAACAGTTGTCTGCAACCATCTGGGCAAAGGCAGGACCCCTGGGCAAGCCCCAGTCCATCCTTCTGCCACAAGGTGCTCAGAATTCACCCCTAGCAGGGTCCACTCTCACCTGGGCCATCCTCTGAGAGCTGCCTCTCCCAAGCCATGCCACCACTTTGCCTCCCAGCATCCATAGGTAGAAAAGGAGCCTTGGAGAAGCTAAATCTGTGTCCCAGATTATTAGGTGAGGCAGAATTTATATTCTCGAGTTTTCATCTGATTGATTACACTAGTGTCTGGTATGACCACGTGAAACCCATAAACCAGCAAGCAGAGGAGTAAGTGAGGGAAAGGGACTCTCCTGAAACCTGTCCTTCACTCGTGCGTTTGAATAAGATCTAGCCACAGATCCAAACATGGCCATCAGTTCAGAGATCTGCAGCACTCACAATCGACAGAAGAACATCCCATGAGAAACAGTCGGTGAGACAGCCTCAGGTACAGTGGTTTGGGACCCACATTTATATTGGAAGGATGTGCCACACTTCAGTTCAAGCTGAGTGGAAATCACATGTGTTTTTTTTCTTCACCTAAGTTCATGAAATCCTAAATGCTATACAAAGACCCCATGGGTACAAGGCTCCAGGTAAGAGGGCATTCTCTAAGCAGAGCTGTGACATGGTGCAGAGGCCCCCCTGAGAAGCCCAGCTCCATAAGAGAAGGTAGGCCCTGGTTTGCCAGAGTGTGGGGAAGTCAGTGCCAGGAAAGAGAAGTTCTGTTGCTGACACCAGCAAGTGGCTTGGAAATAGGCCTGATTCCTCTGTTGAACGTTTTACTTATTTGCTTATTTAAAAGAGTGACAGAGATAAAGACAGAGAACAAGACAGAGATCTTCTATCCACGGGTTTACGTTCTAAAAGTCCCTAACAGTCAGGGCTAGGCCAGGCCAAAGCCAGAAACCACATTCCATGGGTATTCCACATGGGTGCCAGGGACCCAAGTACTAGAGCCTCCCCTACTGGCTCCCGGGATGCTCATTATCAGGGAGTTGGACCTGAAATAAAGGCAGGACTCAAACCTAGGCCTTCTGACAGGGGTTGTGGCATTACTGTGCCACAGTGTCCATCCCATAGCTAAGCCTTTTGCCCACCCTCAGGGAGCCATGCTAATGCTAAGCACTTCACTTGTTTGGGTAGTCCCTGCTTCTCACTCTACACACATGGAAAGTCTTAGTTTGTGCTGGATTTGGGGGACACATGTTAGACTGTACAGTCTAGTGAGAAGACAGCCAAGATGGGGGACCAGCAGTGGGGTAGACATGAGGTTGATCTCTGGTCCACATGCCAGGATGGGAGTCCACATGTCCTCAGGCTCTATTGTAGAGTAGTCCAAACTGCAGTTGGCAGCTGCTCAACAAAGAGGGTGTGCCTCACCTGCGTTTTTGGGATAGGAGTGGAAATGGTTCGTCTAGCAGGGAATGAGAAATGGGGCAGGAAAAGCAGCAGGAAGCGCCATCTGCCCACAGGGAGAAGAAAGGCTGCAACAGCCTGGCAGGGGCATCCAGCAGAAAAGCAGGGGCCAGCAGGACATGCTCTGAAAGCTCTGAGATGGGGCTTCCAAGTGGGTCACTTAAGACCTCTGAGGCTCAATGTCCCCATCTATAAAATGAGCCTGACTGTGCCAATGTGCAATGTCCTTGCAGATATCAGACACAGCACATGGGTGTGAAGCATGCTGCAGCCAGCCAGCACTCCAAGTGACAGCTGCCACTGCTGATGTGGACATTTTAAAGATTTCATTTTCCTAATGGCCCTGCTGGGATGGAGCCACTGTGAATGGTCACGATTTCTGTTTCCCAGCAGCTAAGACAAATCTAGCAGCGTGTCAGTTAGCTTTCCCATTCCGTTTCTATCTATAGAAAGCAAGCCAGCTAGCATGATCATTACCAAACAAAAATTTTATTTTAAAGTATAAGTTTTCTACATTAACTTTTAGTGATTTAAATAAATTAGTATTTTAAATTCTAAGAAATTATTTTCAGCAGTTAAGAGACTACTGAGGGGCCCGGTGGTGTGGCCTAGCAGCTAAAGTCCTCGCCTTGAACGCCCCGGGATCCTGTATGGGTGCCGGTTCTGATCCCGGCAGCTTCACTTCCCATCCAACTCCCTGCTTGTGATCTGGGAAAACAGTCAAGGACGGCCCAATGCTTTGGGACCCTGCACCCGTGTGGGAAACCCGGAAGAGGTTCCTGGATCCTGGCTTCAGATTGGTACAGCACCAGACGTTGTGCTCACTTGGGGAGTGAATCATCGGACGGAAGATCTTCCTCTCTATCTCTCCTCCTCTCAGTATATCTGACTTTGTAATAAAAATAAATAAATCTTAAAAAAAAAAAAGAGACTACTGAGAATAAAAGAAAAAATATGTTTGCTATTTGAAATAGCAAGCTGTATGGAGATAGGGTCACCCCAGGAGACCTGTGACTATGCTATCCTTTGGCTTGAGACTCAGACCCTCAGCAGTTCACCTAGTACCTGGGAGCAACAGGGATCTGTGAAGATGCTGACACATTTGATGGGGGGCCAAGAGCCCACCTTGTAACAGCTCCTACACAGTACTATTGCTCAGATCTGACAGCGAGGACTGGGTGGGAGAAGCTGGCATTACCGAGGGTGAGAGCAGGGGTTGAGGTTTTGGTCAGGGTGAGGACTTTGCATGAGGGTTGAGGATGGGGCACAGGGCTGGGAGCAGGGCACCCGTGTACCCTCATCCCTCCTCTGCCTCCCACCCAGGATTTCCTGAGTCCCCAGAGTCTGGTCTGGCCTCTGCCCCGACCTCATGCACACAGCACACAAAGCACACGGTACGCTAAGTTTCTTCTGGCATTTCTGGGAAGCACTGGGGAATGACCAGCTGACTCTGCACCTCGCCCCATTTCTGTGTCCTCTTAGCTGCTGCTATAAGGAAGAGGGTCCTGTAGAGGTTGGCAGGACTTTGGGGGACACCAAAGGCGAGGGGAGACCACCCCCAGCCCTCACCTGCCTTCCCACCCTGAGCATCACTATCTGCCCTCCCTGCGCTGTGGAAGCTTCACAAGCAGAATGAGAACTAGCTTCCTCTGTGTTCCTGCAGTGCATGTTGGGCCCAGACCAGGGCCCTCTGTGTGAAAATTCAAGGGAAGGCAGAGGGCAGAGTTGAGGAGCACCGAGATGTGTAGGGAAAAAGAACCAATCGAAGCAGATTTGTTTTCCATTCATTGTGGCTGAGGAACTTTCCTAGTGGGGTCATGGAAATGGTCATGCTGACTGCAGTCAGGGCCTGCTATGAGGGGCAGTGTCTCTGAGTCCCTGTGAGGTTCCCTGCTAGCTGCCTTCCTGCATGGTAACCTCTTATCCCCAGAGTAAAGGCAACCACACCTCTGGAAGAGTTGGGAGTCAGGACAGGATTTTACTGAGAAATCTAATCCAGGGCTGTGTTTTGATTTTACAGACTTGTCATCAAGACTGTTAAGAGTAACTGATCCAAGATGCCCGTACCTCCACCTCCAGCGCCCCCACCACCGCCAACCTTTGCACTGGTGAGTGCTATCCTCAGTGTCCCTGCACTAAGTAAGCCACAGGCAGGCAGACACTAGCACAAATGGGTTGTAGTGTACTTCCTTCAGGATAAACCAAGCCTTACTACAAATCCAGAAAGCTTGAATGACTGTATTTGCCCAGGGTTCCTGCAGAACACAGGTGTCCAGTACTGGACAGGTGCTGGTGCCATCCTGGGAGCAGCAAGCAGGGTCTCCATCCAGATGGGTTCCATGCCAAGATAATGGCCTGTGATGTGGGGGCAGGACAGAGCAGCGTGCGTTGGTCATGCTTCCCTTGACACATCTCCTGCTCTCACTCCATTCTTTTCTGCCTCCTCTCCTTTCTTCCCAGTCTGTTTCTGACAGGCTGTTTCTCACCCCTGTCACCTCTCCCTCACACTCTCATATCCTCCTTTCAGTCTTCTCTTGTATGTGGATGTCTTCTCCCCAAAGGAATTCCTTCCCTGGACTCATCCTGGGCCCTGGCTATGCCTGGCCGGGGAGGTCCATGCCACTGCTTCCTCCACAGAGGACAGAAAAGCCCAACACACTCTGTAAGACCAGGGCCCCCCAGCAAGTGATGCCTTCATTGCTCAGTAGCTTCCTGCCAGTGGTTCCATCAGCATCATATGGGGAAACTGAGGCTCTCAGAGAGGAAGAGTCTCTTGCCTTGGGCTCTCCTGGGATACATTAACAAAAGCCACTGGAGGCTGGAACCTCACTAGAGAGCAGTGCTTGTTATGTAGCTCACAGCTGCCCAGGGTGGTCCTGCAGCTGCTTGTTTTAAGTCCCCCAGGGACAGGGGACAGCAATTGAGAGCATAAGCATTTGGAAACATTTGTAGCAATTTGACTGTAGTCTTCTGTTTGGTTCTAAGATTGGTGTTTTCTTTTTTCAAACTAATTTTTTTAATTTATTTTTACTTGAAAGGCAGATTTACAGAGAAAGGGGGAGAAAGATTCTTTATGCACTGGTTCACTCCTCCAAACCACCACAAAAGCCAAAACTAGGCCAATATGAAGCCAAGAATTTGTTCTGGTCTCCTGTGTAGGTGTTGGGGCCCATGGACTTGAGCCATCTTCCACTGCTGTCCCAAGCACATTAGTAAGAAGCTGGATCAGAAGTGCAGCAGCTGGGACTTGAATCAGCATCCATATGGGCTGCTGTCACTGCAGGCATAGCCTTAGCCTGCTATACCATGGTGCCAGCCCTTACTTTTTATAAAAGGTTAGTATAAAATGGATTGGACAAAAAAAAAACTTATCTATTTTAATTTGAAAGGCAGATTTTACAGAAAGAAAAGGAAAGATAGAAAAAGAGGTCTTTTATCCACTGATTCACTCCGCAAATGTCCACAATGACCAGAGCTGGGCCAGTTAGAAGCCGGGAGCCAGACACATCTTCTGGGTGTCCACATGGGTTCAGGAACCCAAGGGCTTGAGCCATCCTCTGTTGCTTTCCCAGGCCATAAGCAGGGAACTGGATTCAAAGTGGAGCATCTGAGACATGAACTAGCACCAATATGGCTGCCAGTGCCACAGCTGGAGGATCAGCTTGCTATGCCAACATGTTGGCCCCAACAAAAACTTTTTTAAAACTAGTACTCCTACAAGAATTTTTAGGGGCTGTTCTGTAGGTAGCATAGCAGGAAAAGTTTATTTGTATTTCCCTAAAAATTTGCGGCATACATGACTGCTAGATAGTAGAATCATTAATTTTTTAAAATTTTAATACTCAGGAATTAATTTTAATGTATATTCTAAAAATTAGCACATCAAACCCCTAGTTTAGTAGTCAGTTAGTGGAAAAGAAGTTAATTCATTGAGAAATAGCACAGTAGGAATAAACATGTGGCCCAGCAGTTTACATGTCCATGTCCCCCACCAGGCTGACCTGAGTTCAGATCGCAGCTCCATCTCCTTCCTCCTGTTTCCTGCCAGTATGGCTCAAGGAAGCGGAAAGCAATAGCTGTGGTTGAGCACCTGCCCCCAACATGGGAGTCCTCGTCTGAGTTCCCTTGTCCTAACGAGCCCCAGCCTAGCTCACTGCAGGCAGCTGAGCTGTGAGCCAGTGAGTGGGAGTGCATGTTCTCTGACTGCCTCTTAAAGATTAAAAGTTAAAAAGAACTTGTAAAATTTAAGAAAAAAACAGCATAGTGGATAATACGGTAAACTGACTTAATGCAAAACATTAAATAAATAAGAGACAGCATGTTATCATCATAAATGATATCCCACAGTGACATTTGAGAAACTATTTATATTATCAACTAATTTCTGAGCATTATTACCTAGCCTAGAGCAAGACCCTGGAAACAGAGGATTCAGAGTGAGAAAAGGGAAGTCAAGGGCCAGTGACCATCAGAGGACACTGTCCTAGTGGAATGTCATGAAGGACTCTGGGGTGCCATGGAAGAGAATTCAGCAACCAAGGAGGTCAGCTGTCAAGATAGATTCTGAGGTGGACTAGAAGGTCACTGACAGCTGTTGAAGAGAGCAGATATGGACACAGGACCTAACCTCCCTAGTCCTCAGGACTTTTTCATTTTTAAAATGACAGCAGGTCATTTTCAAGTTCTTTTCAAGCTGTCTGAGGCTTGCTGTCAAATTGGAAAAGACAAGTTTCAGAACAAGGGAGAAGAATCATACTGGCAAAAGCAGTTTATGTGTAAATGGGGTTTCTGGATGAATGGGGGCTGCGAACAAGGTGCAGCCTATGTGCGCCCTCTGTCAGCTTATAAAGAAGGCTCTGGGTTCTGGGTTCCAACTCCTGCCCTTATTGACCAAGTGACTGGGAATACTGACATAGCCTCTTGATGCCTCCAACAGCACAACAAAATCACTATTCCCCGGGCCAGATAAGGAAAATGTGAATTACTATACATACAGTATGGGAGACGATGGCTGGCCAGAATCAAAAGCTATGATGGTGTTAACTGTTATTATCATGAGCAGACAATACAATTATTTCAAGATGTTTCCAGCTTACACAGTAATCCCAGTTAGTGTACCTATGGGCTTTTCTGAGCTCTCGCTGGGCCTCCTCTTCTTCTGCGAAGCCTCCTGTAACATGCCTGGCTCATCTGCAGTCACATTCTTCTCCGAAGGGCTGGGGCCAGCCCAGGAGGGCCTCTCTGCTGGCAGGGCAGCCACCCTCTCCCCAGGACCAAGCAAGGCCAAGCCATCTCCATGTGGGGATGCAAGCACACAGATGCCGCCCTCTGAGCCCAACTGTGGAACCTCAGTCTCCTCAGTCCTAAAATAACCCTGATGGAAGGAGATCCCAATTGCATCGGAATGCTCTTTCCCAGCGAATCTGGAAACACAAGAAAATGTCCAGACATCTTAAAGGAACCACCTTTCCCTACTGTGAAGTTTCTGAGTCAAGCTTTCAAAAAAGGGACTAAATATCAGAAACCTGTTAGACCAAAGGGGAAGGAACTTTTTGGAGTAAAGAAAATGCTCTATATCACGGCTGTGGTGATAGTCACACCACCTTATACAAAGGCACTTCAAAAAGTCTGTGAAATAGTGAAACTAAAAGATTTAAGTTCATTTTGGTGCAAAAAGTTTTCTTTCAAACCCATGCCCAGCACAGAAATGTAGCACCATGGTTAAGATGCTGCTTGGGACACTTGCATCCCATATCAGAGTGCCTGGGTTCAAGTCCTGATTCTATTTCCAATTGTAACTGCTTGCTTATGCACATCAGGTGATAGCTCAAGTGCTCCTGTGTCTCTTGCCACCCACATGGGAGACCTGAATTGAAATTTGAGCTCCTGGGCCAGCCCTAGTCCTTGCAAGTCTTTGGGAAGTGAACAGAGGAAGGAAGCTCCTTCTCTGTCTCTTTTGAAAGAGATTAAAAACACACACACGTTGTTCATTATACTCATTTTTCCATTAATTTTTAATGGAAAATTAATTTGTAAAGGGCCTTTAAAAATTAATTTTAGGACTTTAAAAAACTTAATTTTAAAAATTAATTTTTAAAGACCCTTCAAATATCTGTCAGAATTCATAGAACTACAAACTAGAAGGATAGTTTCAATAAATATAAATTATCCCACTGATAAGCGAATGACTTAAATGAAAAAGTATCTTAGACAATACAGTCACAAGAATTATTTAAACTTGTGGGGTTTTAAGGAAGCAAGTCCTGCTGACTCTCCTTGCCCCAGGTTTGCTATGCAAGGTGGGGATCGGATGCCATTGTCCAGCACATGTTCTGGAAGCCAGGCCTGGCCACGCCCTGCAGCAGGCGGGCCGCCCTCATTCCTCTAGCTGTGTTGTCACCACCAGATCACTATCTGAATTTTCAGACTTTCATGAGGCATGGATTCTTTGTGTCTAGAAAAGGCATGTTACCAATGGCTCCCAAACACATGAGTCTTAAAAAGAACAATTGTGCAGAATTTATGGCCCATCACCAAGAACCTTACTCACAAGGTTCAGTCTCCTGTGTTAAAGTGCATGATTTTCATTTAAGAGATGATTGCCCGTTTGTATGGTTCCCTTTCAGGCCAATACTGAGAAGCCGACCTTGAATAAGAGAGAGCAGGCTGGGAGAAATGCCCTACTGTCTGACATCAGCAAAGGGAAGAAACTGAAGAAGACAGTCACCAATGACCGAAGTGCACCGATACTGGACAGTAAGTGAAAGGGGCAGTCTCCCATGGAGAGAAGTGGTTTATGGCTAACAATCAACTCTGGCCCGCCCATCCTGGGGAGCAACAGCTGCAAAGCTAGCAAAATAAGGACTGTACCAGTCATTGTAGGCCACAGCTTTGGCTTGGGTTCCGCCTAATGCTGCAGGAAACCAGCATAATAATTCTTTGTCTAGGACATACACAGCAGCCATTCTCTGAGTTGCTCACATCACTTTCTGAAGATTAACCCGTTGTTCCTGGTACCATAGAGAGGAGGCACTGTGAAATATGGGAAGACTCTTAGCCTTGAAATCACAGATTATGGGTTCAAGGCCTGGCATACCCATTGTGTACCAACTCCAAGCTACCTTTTCTCCACTTCTAAGGACAGTAACAAAAACTATTCTTACAGACCTCATAAGTTTGCTGTAACCTTCAAATGAGATAATGCCTAGAAAAAAAAAATGCTTTGTTGGGGAAATGTAGTTGAGGTGTAAAATGTGGATGACCAGGAAGCTGAAAGAGAAGAAATGAGATCACAACTGTGCTTATCTACACATTTAACCTAGAATACTTTATGGAACAAAGTAGGGTATGCATTTAAAAAAAAAAAACAGGCTACCTGTTGTGGTACCCACAACACAGGCTACTCATTAACAATGGAATAGAAAATTGCTCATGACAGGGATTCACTGATAGTGACCCGAGTACATTCCTGTACCTTGCAACAAGTTGGATATCCTCCAGCTTTGTCCTGTGCCACTGGTCCTGTGTGGTTCACTAGGAAATGGAACAGCCAGATGGAGCTTTGTTTGTCATTGGTTAATGATACAGGGTTGTAACAAAGTGGAGGATTCAAGGTGTTGAAGTCAGAATTGCCTGGAGAAGTGATTGGTAGGTAGAGAAGGAAGAAGGAGCAGAGTTAGAGGAGGAAGCAAATGTGGAGGAAGACAGAGAAGATCAAGATAAGACTTTTGAATGTTGCTCTGTTACCAGACAGGGAGGTGTAAATGACACATCACCTCTTAAAAAGGAAATGCGGAGTTTTTGACTTTTGACATGTTCTGACTTCTAAGTCAAAATGCACACAAAGCTGATGTGTATAATCCCTTAGACCTCCTGATCAGTGTAACAGACTCCATTTGAGAAGCCGGTCCAGTTTAGTCACTTATATCCAGGAGTCTTTAGTACAGCAGCCATGTGTGTGGTCCCTGGTTGGGGTCAGAGGAGCCACTGACCACTAGAACAGAGCCCAGCAGTTCTCCTCTCTAAAAGAGGAAGTCTGAGGCACTGAGAAGGTCGGTGTGAATTCCCCACCACTGTTGACTGAGATGGAGATGTCTGGGCATAATGCAGAGTCCCTGAGTTGAAACTATATTCTTCAAGGTCCACTTGTCCTATTAAAAGGAAATAGTGTTAGTCCCTCTCCCTTCCAACTGCTCAATAATATTTTAAAATGTGCTTCCCTGCATGCCCAGGCTGTTGCTGCACTCAGCTGGACACATGTACTGTTACCACAAGCTGCTTCCAAGTGTCAGAGTTCATCTGTAGTTCTGTGCTGGACTGCATCACATCCTGGAATCTGTGTCAAAATACTAACCATGGATATGCATTCACTCTTGAGTTCAGCACTGTCCTGCCAGTTAACTCTTCTCAGCTTTGGCTTCCTGTATTTGTCTGTTTTCTGTGATTATATGAAGTAGCTGATACCAGGTACTTTATTTAAATAAGAGGTTTATTTAGCTCCCAGTTTTGGAAATTCAAGGGCATGACCCCAGGGCTCAGCCTTTGTGAAGACCTCATGGCAAATGGCATCAAGTGGCAGGGGCACATGTCAGAGGGAGGCAACATATGATGTGACAGGAAGCCAGAAGAAGGGGAGTGGCCATTCTTGCTCTTGTGAGAACTAACCAGGATCCCACAAAAAACCACATTAATCTCCTGTGTTCCCAGTGATCTAATGACTGCCCATTAAGGCCTACCTCCTGAAGATCCCATCAATACTCACATCATCACACTAAGGGCCTGGCTTATAACACATGAACCATCACATCCGAACCGTAGCATTTTTTCACCCAAAGATGTCAGATGTAATGGAGGGACTAGCACTGTGACACAGTAAGTTAAGCCATGGCTTGCAATGCCAACATCTCATATGGTCATTGATTTGACTCCTGGCTGCTCTACTTCCAATTCAGCTTCCTGTTAATGCACCTGGGAAAGCAGCAGAGGTTGGCCCAGATCCTTTGCACCCTATAACCATGTGGGAAACCTGGAAGAAGTTCCTGGCTTTGGCATGCCCTCGCCCAAATTGTTGTAGCCATTTGGGAAGTGAACCAGCACATGGAAAATCCCATCTTTCTTCTTTCTATAACTCTGCTTTTCAAACTAGTAAATAAATTATAAAACATGCAAACAAAAACACTAATGGATTATGTCTCATAGTACAGCCAAGCTCTTTGAGTTTATGTATTTACTTTCGTTTTCTTTGAAAATTAAAGAGGCAGAATGAAATATCTCACTTCCCAAATGCCGGCTACAGCTAGGGCTGGGCCAGACCAAGGCCAAGAGAAATTCAGTCCAGGTTTCCTATATGGGTGGCCTGGATCCAAGCACTTGATCCATCATCTGCCGCCTACCAGGGTACACATTAGCACAAAACTGGATTGGAAGCATTAGAGTTAGGATTCCAATCAGGTACTCTAATGTGAGATGCAGGTATCGCTAGTGGCAACTTAACCATTGTACCATTGAGTAAAATGCTAATGCATTATTTTCTTAAAAAGACAGAGAGCTCTTAGCTTCCAGATAACTCTCCAAATGTCTGTATGGTGGCCCAGGGGCTGAGGCTAGAGCCAGGAATGGATCCAGAGCTCCCCCAAAGGTGATGACAGGGCCTCAGTTACTTGAGCCATCACCAATGCCTCCTAGGGTCTGCAGGGCCAGGCAGCCTGTACCCACAGAGTCAGGAATCAATATATTTATTTTTATTTGAAAGGCAGATTTACAGAGATAAGGACAGATAGAGAAGGTCTGCTAGTTTACTCCCAAATGGCCACAATGGCAGAGCTGAGCTGATATGAAGCAGGAGCTTCCCCTGGGTCTCACATGTGGGTTCCAAGGACTTGTAAACCACATTCTGTTGCTTTCCCAGGCCATAAGCAGAGAGCTAGATTGGAAGTAGAACAGCCAGGACATGAAACAGTACCCATATGGGATGTTGGCTCTTAAGGTGGAGGATTAGTCTGTTAAATCATAACACCTATCCTGTATCTCTTTCCAAGTAAAATAAATAAATCTTAAAAAAAAGAAAAAATTAAAATTAATCTAAAAGCTTATAAAAATAAGTGGTTAGTCCAAAATATAATCCCTTGACCTCACATTTTCTAATAATATTGAATAACTTAGAAAGTCCTAACAATAAAATGTTAAATAGGGACAAAAAGCAGGCTAAACACTGTTTATTAGATATTTACATACACACACACATACACAGAGAAAGAAAGAAAAAGCATACCTCAAACAGTGGCTATTTCTAAAGAATAAACTGTGAAATTTTAAAGTTTTTTTCTATTACTACTCTTCCCATCTAAGTATGGGCTGGCTTAATCTCCAAATACCTGGGAACCAGCAACACAGTATGGCTCTCCCACATAAGTCGCAGAGACCTGGCCACTTGAGCCATTCCTTACTGCATCCCAGGATGCACATTAGCAAGAAGCCAAATCAGGAGTAGAACCAAGGTTTGAGCTCAAGGAATTCCATGTGGGATGTAGGCCTCCACTGTCTTAATCACTGAGCCAAATGCCAGCCCTTCCTTAATTCTTTTTATAATTTCTTCTTTTTATTGAATCTCCCCCTTTCTTGGCCTCATCTTTCTGTGACTATTCCTTTATTTATCAAGTCTTAGGCAATGGGACAGATGCTAACAGTTGTGACAGCTGGTCAGGAGAGGGTGTGGGGACCTTCTCTTACTATTTGCACACCCCACCACTGGGCCCAGGAGTGCCCTGCATCCTCAAGAAACCCCTCCTATTCTGACAGGGGGTTGGGACCAACCAGTTTCCACCAGCTCCCTGTTTTACTGTACTGGTCACAAGTGGTAGGGCTCTCTGGTGGGTACTTCCACACCAGTGAAAAGATGGCATGTTATTCTTTCTGCAGAACCTAAAGGACCTAGTGCTGGTGCAGGCAGTGGATTTGGTGGAGGAGGTGGCAGCGGCGGTGGTGGAGGTGGCAGCGGCGGCGGAGGTGGGGGTGGCCCGCCTGGACTAGGAGGACTGTTCCAGGCCGGAATGCCAAAGCTAAGATCCACAGCTAGCAGGGATAACGGTAAGAGGAGTTTCCTTCTCTGAGCAACTGAAGATCAGTGGTCTGGGTCTGGAGGCTTGGTGTGCCCCTCAAGGCTCTGCTTTCAAACCTTTTGTATTCCCTGAGATGTTACCACTCTTCTATATGAGAGACTTATTTGACACTTTATTGTTATTATTAGTCATGAGTAGACAGCTTTACAGAGCTAGTAGCTATTTGTCCAGTGTCCTGGGGTGTCACCTGTCCATTCTCACACTATTCTAAAGGATGCACTGGAGTGGGAAGGGAAAGGAGGGAGCAAATCGAACTTTCCACTGCTGCAAACTGCTGGTGACCTGGCAGAGGCAGCTTTGTGCAGTGGCCTGCTCCAGCTGTCCACCATGGTAAATATTCGCAAGCCACTTCTCAAATACATGATGGAACGTGTCCTCTGGGCTTCTTATAAATGTCCCCTAAACCTGAAATACCGTCCTATGTGACAGACTTTCGGTATTTTAATGCCAGTGGTTCTAAGTGTTCTCTGGGGAGTTTCCTGATGGTAGAAAGTAGTTGAACTTGATCATAGCTAAATGAAAATCTTACAGAGTCCATGGGGCTCCTTCCTAATTCCTACAGAAGCTCAAGAATCGGTGTAAAACATTCTTTCATTTTTGTCTTGTTAAAAGATGTTTATTTCTACCTCTATGATCTTTTAAAATGTAGAAAAGGCAAAATTTTCATGTTTACATGGGAAAAACTAGGGTTAAAAAAAAAGAAGGGTGAAGTATAAAACAGAGTTAGAAGTGCAGTTAGTACACAAAATGAGGCACCAAAGCCCCTTTACACAGCACTAAGGTGTACAGTAACTGCAACCCAAATCCACAGCTGGGAAATACAACCTATCACAAGTTAGTAACACAGATGTATACAGCTTTGTTTTAGTACTAAGACTACAAATTCTCTCCTACCCCTTGTGTAAGCCTGTCCAAGTGCTCAGACCTCCAAGGCTGTGTGAGCCAGCTCCTGTTGACCACTCAGTCTCCACTTCCTGGGCACTTTTCCCAGGCTCACCATGCCTTAGGATGCAGTGTAGGTGGTTCATTTCTTCTGGGCCTTCGGACCTGCTGGCCCTCTGCCTATCTTCCTCATCTTTCCATGCTGGTTCCTTCTTCTCAGACCCACCCCCGGCTCATGTGTCAAGACTGGGAAGAGTTGCCATCCCCAGAACCTGACTCTGTCCAGTTTGGCCTCTCTAGGCGTTCCTGTTCTCAATGGCTTGTTATTTTGGTATATATAATTAGCTGAAACTACTTCATTATTACTAATTTGTTTACCGTTTCTCTCCTGTACAACAATGTAAACCATAGGAGAGTGGGATCTTTCCTATTTTCTCCACTCCTCTGTCTAGCAGCCAGAATGGCTGGTACACAGCAAGTGCTCAGGGCTTTGCTGGTGAAATGAGTGAAGTGGGAGATGCAGGAATGCAGGCTGTTTTCTTAGAATTGCCTTGGGCCTCACATAGTTCTGGGTGGTGTTGGAGGTTCTCCAGACCTTTGTTTCCCCCTTCAGTTCCTCCCTTTGTTAAACCCGAACCACTTCAGTGCTGTTCCATCCAGCCAGTACTGATGCAGAAGTCAGCCCCAAAGGAACAAGCATTATGTATTTACCTAACTCACCATGCCATAGCACTGCCAGTGTGGGGTCCCAACTTTCTAACTGAATATTTGTTTTCCCATTTAGACTCTGGAGGAAGCCGGCCACCGATTTTGCCACCAGGAGGAAAATCCACATCTGCCAAGCCCTTTTCACCCCCAAGTGGTCCGGGGAGGTTTCCTGTACCTTCTCCAGGCCACAGAAGTGGTCCCCCCGAGCCCCAGAGGGCCCGGATGCCTCCTCCACGGCCCGACGTGGGCGCAAAGCCTGAAAGCGTTCCTCCTCCAGTACCTAATACGCCACGGCCTGTCCAATCAAGTCTGCACAACCGCGGGTCGCCACCAGTCCCTGGGACCCCCAGGCCACCTGGCCCCGCCCCGACCCCTCCCCCCTTCCCTGGAAACCGAGTTGCCACTTTCGGGGGAAGCTCCATACGTCAGTCCCCCTCAGGCTCTCCTTCGCCCTTCTCCAACAGGCCTCCCCTGCCTCCCACCCCAAACAGGGCCCTGGATGACAAACCCCCTCCACCACCTCCGCCAGTGGGCAACAGGCCCTCCATCCACAGGGAAGGGGTTCCGCCTCCTCCACCTCAGAACAACAAGCCTCCAGTGCCTTCCAACCCCCGACCAGCCACCTCCTCACAGGCCCCGCCGCCTCCACCGCCCCCCAGCAGGCCCGGGCCGCCTCCCCTGCCTCCAGGTGGCAGTGGCAGTGATGAAATCCCAAGGCTCCCACAGCGGAACGTGTCCCTCACTTCATCTGCACCTCCCTTGCCTTCAGGGGGACGTTCGGGTCCTCTTCCTCCCCCGCCCACCGAGAGACCCCCTCCTCCAGTGAGGGACCCACCAGGCAGAACAGGTAAGACAAAAGGAGGGTGAGTTCCCTGGCTAACATCCAGCCCGCCTGGACATCACTCTTCTACCTGGGAGTGAATACAGGCAAACAAAAGCACAGGTAGATTCCCGGGCAGCTTCATGCTTTTAAGTCTTGACACTGATATGGATGATTTCATCGGGACCTCATGAAAACCTCCAAGGAAAATGAGATCGATGCTTCTGTTCATGTTTTAAAAATGAAAAGACTGAGTAACTAATAAAGTTAAATGGTCCCAAGCTACTTAACAAAGAAGAGGCTGGAACCTTCACCTTCCCTCACCGAAGGGTACTTACGCCCTGCCCCCCAGAGTTCAATTTCAGCTGCCTTCACTAGGGTGATGTATTACCATCTTTCACATGAGGGCCCCAGGATTCAAGCCTGATGGGCACTTACTTAACAGTCAATGAACTTCTGTACTTCTCTTTTCATTTTTTAAACTTTGAGGCCACCTCGTTAATGGGACATGTAAAAAGTTTTGCTCTGTTAACATCTCTGGCACATAGATTGCCATCACCACTGCTTCCCAGGGTCTGCACTGGCAGAGAGCTGGAACGGGGAGCCATGCCAGGAACCACACCTAGGTACTTCAGTGTGGATGGCAGGAATCCACTGCTAGACTAAATACCCCTGGTCTTTAGAAGGTTTTTATGTATTTTTTAGCCAAGTTAAAATACATAAAGGGTGTTTTAAACAGTTCATAGGAAGTGGAATTAAATATATATGTGCACACACAGGTTGACAAAATCAGCATGTCACTACCTATATACTGTTTGGTAATTTGCTTTTGACTTGATAATATTTAATTAGTTTTATGATGTGATTAACCATTCTTTTCCATGCAGGCTTTCTGATGTCTGTATAGTGCTACATCCTACTATGTACCTTGGTTTAATAAACCTCACTCGATCATTGGATTCATCTCTAGATCTTTGCTATTGTTGATAGTGCAGTGATATATTCTTGTAACTAAATATTTTGGTATCTCTAAATATTTTCTTTGGATGAATTCCTAGAAATGAAATTTCTTTACTGCACAGTAAACTATGGATCATATAGCTACTGCCAAACTGCCTTCCAGAAAATTCTTACCAACTTACATTCCCAGAAGGAGTCCATTAGAGGTCATCAAGGACCAGCACATTTCGAGATGTGATTTTGTTTCATTGTTAGGGAAGTGAACTTTATAATCTGACAGATTTGGGATTAAATCCTGACTGTTATACTCATTAGCCCCAGAATTGGGATTTTTTTTAGAGTTCCAAAATCTCTGAGGTCTTGTCTGCTATATCTACACCTTTCAGGATTACTGTCAGAGACAAAAAATTTAAATTTCTAGTACTGTATGACACAGTCTTTATGTAAAATGTCAATGTCTTATGAGTGGAACTCTTTGCTGAAGATCAGGAATCACTCAGGCTGTCACCAAGTTTTGGTTCTGGTTGGTTTACATTTACTCACCCAAGTAGCTTCTACACTTGGAGGATGACAAAGTCAAGATAAGTTTTATTTGTACTATCAAAAAGAATGCACTTGGACTTTTTCACAGGAGTATAAAAATTTATGGCAATATCATCTCACTATGTTTTTTTAATGCCTTCAAATTCTTTTATAAAACGTTTTATTTTTGACTGGTTAACTCCTGTGGCAGCCTTTCATAGACAGGAAATTGAGTTCCACAGGGCAGCAGCTTGCTTAGGGTCAGCACCCCAGTAGCATTTACAGACTGGGACACTGAGGAGTGTCACTCCCTGTGTTCATCTGCCTCCCCAAAGAGGAAGAAGCAAGAAGGAATTCCGGCTATGTTCAGGATGACTAGTACTTGGTTTTCACTTCTGCCCGGAAACAGGTCACGGGCATAACAGAAACATGCTTGTATAATTAACAATAATACTGTGCATTTGAAGATCTTAGTTCTTCTGAAATCCTAAAATAATTTTATGACTATCTTACACATCTTTTATTTCATTATATTACAATTCAGCCACTCTCTAAAAAGATTATAAAATGTTTTAAAAATTAACAGTTGTGGGCCCGGCGCATTAGCATAGTGGTTAAAGTCCTTGCCTTGTACGTGCCGGGATCCCATATGGGTGCCAGTTCTAATCCTGGTGGCCCTGCTTCCCATTTAGCTCCCTGCTTGTGGCCTGGGAAAGAAGTCGAGGACGGCCCAAAGCTTTGGGACCCTGCACCCATTTGGGAGACCTGGAAGAAGTTCCTGGCTCCTAGCTTTGGGTTGACTCAGCTCCAACCGTTGTGGTCACTTGGGGAGTGAATCAGCAGAGGGAAGATCTTCCTCTCTGTCTCTCTTCCTCTCTGTATATCTGACTTTGCAATAAAAATAAAATAATTTTTTTTAACAAAATTAAACAGCTGTTAGTATAAACAGACTATCACCTGCTTTCAATTTCTCTGTGTCGTAACTCAAAGCCAAAACAACCACTTAGCTAGAATAGGCACTTGGTTGCATATACATGTGTATCTATGTACTTTGTATGTTTGTGTTTATATGTGCCTACTCATTTCTCAGCTAAATTTCCTGCAAAATTGCCACCATTTCCCATATGCCCTAGTTTAATAGCTGAATTCAGCAGACACCCATTAGTTGCACACTAATGGTGACTGTTGTGGTACTAATGCATGCCAGAAGGTAGGCCTGATCCAAATGGTTTCTCTTTTGCCTCAGGCCCCCTCCCACCACCACCTCCAATAAGCAGAAATGGCAGCACATCGCGGGTCCTTCCTGCCACCCCTCAGTTGGCGTCCAGAAGTGGAATCGATAGTCCCAGGAGTGGGCCCCGGCCTCCTCTTCCTCCTGAGAGGCCTGGTGCTGGGGCACCTCCACCACCTCCACCATCAACATTGATTAGAAATGGCTTCCAAGACTCCTCATGTGAAGGTATGTGTGCTTCCCGTGCTGGCATCAACGCTTCTTGTCCCATCATCGTTACCAGATTACTCTGCACTGATCTACCTGTAACCATCTGAAGGCCCATCATGGCTGTAAGTCAAAAATAACAGTCCTCCTCCCTTACCTCCCAAGAAGACAGATCATTTTTCTCTGACCTGTTCTTAGTTTGGGTTTCATTTTGGTTACCTTTGCAGAGATTCCAGAATTCTGAAAAGAATCATTTTTGTAGCTCACAACAAACTACTTAGAAATGTAGAGAGCAAATGTCACCTCAAGAGCCTGCAGATAGTAAGCCTCTCACCTCTGCTCTGGTTATCAGCATGGTCTCACTTAGTCTTGGGCCTATTTGTGGGAAAATACAGATCCTATACTTAAGCCCCACTTCTGAGGCAGACTGGCTGCATCATAATCCTTTGAGTTGGAATCACTTGGCTATATCTGATCAATGTACAGATCAGTGATATATGCAGCTTTTCTGTAGCCTTCTGGACATAAAGCTAGAAGTAATTTCTTTAGTCCTCTCTAGATTTCATCTGTGCCCTTCACTGCGTAAGTCTTGAGAGCAGGTGGTTACTGACAACTCTTTGTTTCTCCCCCAGATGAGTGGGAAAGCAGGTTCTACTTCCACCCAATTTCTGATTTGCCACCTCCAGAACCGTATGTGCCAACAACCAAAAGTTACCCCAGCAAATTGGCAAGAAATGAGAGCCGAAGTGAGTATTTCTGCCAGGGCTTTTGGCAGATTCCTACTTAAATAGCCTGGGTTATGTGTTGGTCCATATGGGAGTTCCAGGCCTCTTAATATGGAATATGATGGGAAGCCCATTTGGAGCTGCCTAAATTTTTGTCAGTTCCTTTTCTACATGGAGGAGGAAACTGAAGAGACCCAGAATGCTTGCAGGAAATGGTTAATGTGTTATTGGAAGTATTACTTATGATTATTTTGCTTTTTGAACAGTTTTCCTTCATTTTCATTTGAGACAGTAAAGTAGAGCCACCTTCTAATTTTACTAGTTTTGCACCTGGCAAAACATCTTATTTATTATAATGAAAATTCATTGTAACTGCCTTTTAAATGTGTTACAATCATATCTTAACAGTATTATATGTCTGTTCACAAAACAGGCATTTTCATTTTGTCAGTTTTTATCCATACAATTCTGATTTGCTGTATAGTTATGATGGGACAGTGTAGTTTTTCATTGGTGGGGTTCACGTGACTTAGTAAACATGTCCCCAGTCTCTCATATGGCTTCTGTTTCACAGGAGTCCATCATCAAGTCAGCATCCTTTTTGCTAACATATATATAAAGTTTGCCTAGGAAGTAATCACTCTTGGTATTGAATAAATGTGACCAAGAGAAATTAGACAAACTGGAGTTTCACCACAACAAATATAAAGGCCTGAGATAGTGTAAAATACACATATGCCATTGATGAAGTTCAGACCTGCAGCAGCCTTAGCATCAGAACCAAATGCCCAAACCAAAAACCTTTAGAGAAAAGGTGTATAAGCAAGTCATCCTGAGGCCACAAGGTCCACAGCAGAGCACTTGATACAGACACACACAGAGCCTACTGATTCTGAACACTCAGTTCTCTCACAATTTCTGATTGGTAGCTAGCAGCCTTGTAGCAGAATAATAGTAGTTCAAGAAAAGATTGATTAGTGGCAGAATCACTGACATCAGTGAGCAGTGACAGATGGCAGCCTCAGGTCACAGGCAGAGAGAGGTACCCAGGGTTGTGCTGCGTGTTAAGGCACAGGACAATCACCTGATGTTTTCATTTTGTTAAATCGATTCAGGCTGTGCCTTGTGTCTATTGAGAATTCAAAGAGTTAGAAAACGTCTTAGGGAATTTTTCATGAACAAATGCCAGAAAGAAAGAAAACATTGCTACTTGCCTTAATCCCTGGAAAAACTCATTTATGTGGAATTCTGTATTCCTACACAGTATCTAATAAATAGGTATAAAGAAAATCATCCAAGGACTGGTAGTTAAAGTTTTGATGAAAAATAAATTTGCACATGGAATAAATATTCTTGAGTATAGTATATGTGTGTATTTTCATCAGAAGAGGGGCTTCTTTCCTCTTAGACTCTAATGAATATAGTTAAAAAATATGTTCACATAGACTAGTGACTATGTGACTTTCCCTGACTTTTTTCTTTAAAGATTAAATTTTTATTTGAAAGTCAGAACTATAGAGAGAAGAGACATAGATGTCTTACCTCTATTGGTTCACCAACCCCCCAAATGGCCACAATGACCAGAGCTGAGCTAGGAATTTTTTCCAGGTCTCCTACATATGTGTAGCAGCCCAAGCACTTTGGAGCAACCTCTGCTGCTTTCCCAGGCCATAATCACACAGCTGGACTGAAAGTGGGGCAGCCAGAACTTGAGCTGATGCCCATATGGCACTAAAGGTACTATGGTGCCAACTCCACTTTTCCTGACTATTTACATTCTCAAGCTTGTATTATTTATATGTTTAAATCAATAACAGAACCAATTTCCCCTTACCCCCCCCCCAAGCTTTTAACTTAATAGCTGAATTTCATTCCCTAGGCTCCTTTGAGATGCAAGTAAACAACCTGAGGACTAGAACTATGGATTGTTCCCTAATGCATCTTCCTAAGTGGTGCTGTGACTGGGACATAGTAGGCATTTAGGAATGTGCTTTAAACTAGTGAATGTCCACTGTCCCCACAAATAATTTTGCAGATATAAGTACTTCTGGCCTTAGGCATATTACTATTTCATAATGACAACAGACCATATGTGTAACACAAGTAAATAAGGTATTATTAAGAACCAGAGGGCCTGGCATGATAACCTAGTGGCTAAATCCTTGCCTTACACCTGCCAGGATCCCATTTGGATACCCATTCACATCCCAACTGCTCCACTTCCTTCTGGCTCCCTGCTTGTCGCCTGGAAATGCAGTGGAGGATGGCCCAAAGCCTTAGGACCCTGTACCTGCATGGGAGACCCAGAAGAAGTTTCTGGCTTCCGTTCAGCTCAGCTCCAAGTGTTGCAGCCACTTGGGAGTGAATGAGCAGATGAAAGATCCTTCTGTCACTCCTCTCTGTAAATCTGACTTTGCAATAAAATAAATAAATAAATCTTAAAAAAAAAAAAAAGAACGAAATGTTATTCTACTCCTATAGTACCTGGTCATTCCTGAGCAGTACAGGTAACACTTTGAGTGCTGTCTCATTACAGCTGTGGACAAGGCCAGCCTTTGGCTACCATTAGTGGATGTTAACTGATGGTCACAGTCATAACAGATTGTCTAAATCCAGACAATGCTCTTCACAGGAAAAGTCTGGCTGGGAAGGGGAAAGGAAGAGGCAGGGGTGATAGAATCCCTGTCTTTGCTCCAAGATTTGTTTCTGTCTCAGTAGTCCCTAGGTAGACCACCCAGGTTACTGTTAAGCTGCCTGCAAGGAATCTGCCATGCTATTCCACTGACTCTCAAAGCACTTAGCATGCAGACTACTCCACCGACATGTGCCCCTGGCAGACCTGCTCACAACATCTCAGCACTTGTCTCCATATCTAATACATGTTAGAGCCTCAAAAATGTGTATCGGACAAATGAAATTTTTTAATGTGAATGGATTTTAAACCTACTTATAGTGCATAGAAAGCCCACTAATATGCATAGCTTTAAAAAAAAAAACATACCAACAGAGTGAAAGGGAAAATCACAGCATAGAGGAAGATATCTGGAAATTATGCATCAGATAAGGAATTAATATTCAAAATATATAAAAAATAAATACACAAAAACAACTCAGTTAAATATATGAATAGACATTACTTTGAAGAAATGCAGATGACCATCAACACATGAAAAGATGTTCAATATAAGTAATCTGTAGAGAAGTACTAATAAAAACAGTAGTAAAATAAAACATTGTTTATTCATCACTTCTACTATCTCATTCATGTCAGTTTACAGCCTTGCTCAGAGTTTCCACAATGAGAATATAATTTTCTACCCAAAACTCACATTTTCTCTGTTTGCTCATCTAGGTGGATCCAATCGAAAAGAAAGGGGTGCTCCGCCTCTACCTCCCATCCCAAGGTGATCTTTACCTGCTCTTCTGGACCCGGGCCCTGACAGCTGCTTTTGTTGTTGCTATATGAGAATTGTACACACACTCCACCCCCTTTGCTTCCCGTGACCCCTTACATTAGCAGGAGGGGCAAGGGGAGAAGGGAGAACAAAAAAAATGGGTGTGCCAGGGTGGGGATAGGGAAGAGATGCACCTAGCTTGTTACAATGTACAGATTCTCAAAGCCATTTATTGCTTGCTTCAGCTGCAGCAGCCAGGGCTGGCTGCTGGGAATCCATAGCTTTTGCAATAAGTAGGCAGAGACAAATCAAGACCCAGCTTTTAGTCAACCAAATTCAAACAGACACTGCTTTTTGGCTACAGGCTGTAATTATTAAAATCCCAGAGAGCTGTTTCCTTCCATGTCTTTCTTTGCATGCTTGGCTTCCTAGCTGTTTTCATCAACCACAGACCACCTGAGCAAACTGCTGAGCAAGGGCATACATGAAACTTTTGCATGTACAGGATGGCCAATCTTGGGCCGTTTGAGATAGATTTGAGAACACACCTGTCCAGTAAAAATAAAATGTGAGGTCCAGGCATAATTTTAAGATAATAATAGTTGGGGTTGTATAAAAGGGTTTTTCTAAAAAACAAAAAGTGAAATTAACTATATTTACCCCATACATTCAAAATATGAATGTACCTGAAATTGGTATAAAATTATTAATGCTATATTTTACCGTTTTTGGTACTAAGTGTTCAAAATTCAGTGTGTATTTTACATTACAGCACATTTCTACTTGGACTATTTATGTGTTAAATGTTCAATAGCCACATGTGGCCGATGGCTACCACATTGGACAGCACAAATTTGGAAGATGGAAACTAATGCAAAAATCTCATTTCAAAAACCAAAAATGCAAAATGAGTTTTAGCAATTCAAGGGGACCTAGAAATAAAGTGAGGAAGCAGTGCCTTGTTTGGCAGACAGCCTGACTATAGATTTTGGTCTCTTAACTTTCCATCTTCCCTTAACATCTGTGTGTAAGTGTTGCTCACAATACCAACGTCAGAAACTAATCCAATAGGGCTTAGGGTCACATGGAATAAAGCCATTGGCAAGAAACTAAAAGTCTGTCAGAGCCTCTGGCCTCAGACCCAGCGGACTCACTCTTCGGTTGGATGCCTGTGCTGTGCGATTCCAAGCTGCCTCTGTTCTTCTCAGGCTGAGCAAGCTCATTAAGGGCCCTGATATGGTAGGAGAGTCAGGCAATGATATCCAGTAGAAACATGGAAGAAGAGAAGAGATTTGAACTGATGGGCAAAACTCAAAAGACACATTCTGATGCCTGCTCAGTTAAGCAAACTGGGGAGACAGCACAAACTGGAGGGCATTTGTTTTGAGTCTTTTCGGGGGGAAATATTTGTCTTGGATCTATGCAAATAAAGCTTCCACTTAAGGGCCATAGAGAAGAATCAGACTTGCCTTTTTTTTTTTTTTACATGATTTTGTTTACAAAATTTTACTAGGACTTTTAAATCTAGCTATAGAATTGGAAAAAATCCATTTAGATGTTTTATATGGTTTATTATGTTTAAAATTACCATTGCTTATTTTTTAAAAGCATACAACCACATGTTTATGTATATCTATCTAGCTTTGTATCATGACTTTAGTGTATTCATGTAATATTGAAGGATGCTAATAAGAAGTCAATCCAAAGAAAAATCTGAAACATGCATTCCTATTTATGGAATAAATAAATGTTTCATTTATGTAAAAGCAAAAGAACTTAAGAGTTTTGACAAATAGGATATCTAATAAATTATGAAGTTACTGATTTGGGTATATTGTATTTTTATAATATTCCTGGCCAAAGTCCTGAGCTAAGTACACCAGAGAATTTCTTTCTCCCCTCTACTACCCATCTGTCTTTGATACAGTCACAGGGACTCTTGATTCATACAGAATCAAGAAATATAAAAATGCAACATGATTGGCAGAATATTTTAAAAAATATTTTATGTTTACTTTGTCTCTGTCTCTCCTCCTCTCTGTGTATCTGCCTTTCCAATAAAAATAAATAAATCTTTTTAAAAAATTAATAAAAATATTTTATGTTGAACATTTGGTAATTTAGTGGTATTTTACTTTGAATTCTTTGATGTAAAAAGTGATAAACATTCTTGTAAATAAACCCAATGACCTATTTCACAAACAACACGGTTTGGCCTTTCTAGCAAATCTGGGAGAGAAAAGGCTGACTTAAGAAAGGTGGACCTAAGTGTTGTGAGGAATAAAAAGAATTGAGTAACTTGCATATCTCAACTTTGCAGCTACCCACAGCACGAAGTTGCCATGCATGCACAATGTTTTTGGCTATGCATTTTGAAAAGACTGTTTCACACACCTGCAGCCTTCCTTTGAAGGTTAGCATCCTTATTGCATCTGGTTCTTAAGAGAAAGTTCTGTGCTAACATCTTCCAGCTATGGTAAACCATTAAGATGAGTGTTTTCCTCCCCTAAAATCAGAGCTTATATGTGTGTTTTTCACATAAAGTTTCCAGATAAATGGATTTGAGATGCAATACAGTATTTTTAAAATTTATATATCATTTTATATTGAAATGTATTACAGTATTAAAATGCAGTGTTCAGTATTTATTTCACTATGCATTTTATTTAGCAAAAGCAGAGAAAAATGTTTAATCCAATGGTGCCTTTGTGATTTGAAAGAAATTGACTTTTTATGTCTAAACAGATTACTTGCATTTGTAAAAAGTTAGGCCTTTATATTTTAACTTGTAATACCAATTTTGTTATTGTCAAAGTGCCTAGGATTTTGGCATGAAATTAATCTTTCCCTGTTTATAGTCAGGGACTGAAGAGGGAGAAAACAAATGTGTTCATACCATTGCACTATGTAAACAGACACATTTTGGTATCTGTGACATCAGGATCATTTAAGTCACAGGGTAGAGCCTACCCTCATGTCTGTGTCTTTGTAAGTTAGCACGACAATAAATAAAAGTAGAATAATTATGGTGTCAGCTGGTGGTTTTCTTTTAAAATTGTCTATGTAAATACAAACAAGAAAGTAGTGTCTTCTGTTTCATGCTGTGGGAAAGGAAGATAAACAAGAAGAAAATCCATGGGGCCAGCATTGTGGTTTAGCAGGTAAATCCGTGTGTGATGCCAGCATCCCATATAGGTGCCATTTGGTATCCCAGCTGCTCCACTTCCCATCCAACTCCCTGCTAACAGCCTCAGGAAAGCAGAGGAAGGTGGTCCCAGCCCATATGGGAGACACCAATGAAGCTCCTCAAACCCAGGCCTCCCATATGGAATTGTGGGTATCCAAAACTATTTTAACTACTGAGCCAAACACTCACCCCAGAGCTAGATTTTTTTTTACTCTCTTTTTAAGATTTACTTATTTTAGTTATGCAGAGAAAGGTACACACAGGAGAAACAGATCGTTTATTCACTGGTTTACTCTCCACACAGCTGCAATGGCCAGAGTTGTGCCAGGAGCTTCTTCCAGATTTCCCACTTAGGTGCATGGAGCCGACCCCCTGGGCCATGCAGGTGTGGCAGGGACTTGAACCATAATGCATAGTAGCACAAAGCTAGATTGGAAGCAGAGGCAAGACTTAAACTCAGGCACTCCAATGTGAGATGCAGCTATCCCTGGGCAGCAAACTACTGCATCACAACACCTTCCCCAACCTATTCCTTATATACAAAATGGAAAACTGACAGCATCAACATGTCACTTAGCACAGTAGCCTGACAATATCAACACTCAAAGTCACAGCCACTATTAAAGTAGGAAACAAATGTCTATATAATGATCACAAAAATGCTTAGAGCCAATCAACTAAAAGGGGACTTCCTGGTGAATTTTAAAGAAAATGAGCTCTAGCTTTAAAAAGTATTATCATGTTCACAATTAATATAGGGCTTCCTGAACAGCCATCTTGCTACCCTACAACCTCACATCTCATGTAATGCCTGTCTGTGGAGCTGCATTTGACATATCCATGTTTCTCTTGCTGCAACTGTTTGAAATAGCCTATACATCAATATTATAGCATAAATTCCTTTCTCTTAAAATGCTACTTCCATTATTACACAGGTACATTTATGGAATACTAATTAAGCTCTATTTATGCAACTTCTGTTTTCAGGGGGCTTGGCTGCTCCTTCTAATTACTTTCATATCTGTATTTTAAAATTTTTTTCATTTAAAAGAAAAATTTACAGAGGGAAGGAGAAACAGAGAAAGATCTTTCATCTGTTGATTCACTCCTCATCCAATCTGAAGCCAGTAACCAGGATCTTCCTCCAGGTCTCCCACATGGGTTCAGAAGCCCTAATGCTTTGGGCCATCCTTTACTGCTTTCCGAGGTCATAAACAGGGAGTAGGATGGGAAGTGGAGCAGCCAGGGCTTGAACCAATGCCTGTACAGGATACCAGCAATTGCAGGTGGGTATTAACCTGTTGAGCCACCGTGCCAGCCCCCTGTATCTGTATTTTAGCTATGATTTTATATTATTTTTTAGGATTTTTTTGTTGTTGTTATTTATTGGAAAGGCAGATATACAGAGAAAAAAGGAGAGACAGTGAGAAAGAGCTTCTATCTGCTGGCTGGTTCCCTCCCCAAGTGGTTACAACAGACGGAACTGAGCCAACCCAAAGCCAGGAGGAGCTTCTTCTGAGTCTCCCATGGGGGTGCAAGGTCCCAAAGCTTTGGGCCATCCTCTATTTCTTTCCCAGGCCACAAACAGGGAGCTGGATGGAAAATGGAGGATGCAGAATATGAACCAACACTCATATGGGATCTTGAGCATGCAAGGCAAGGACGTTAGCCACCAGTCTGCTGCGCCAGGCTGAAGCTTTTTATTTTCAAGTAGGACATCTAAATTATCTAAAGCTTAAGACCTCACTAACAAGGGATGGGTCATGTTAGGCTGGGCCATGACACTAACCAGCATATGAGAGAACCAGGTCTGGGGGCAGATTCTCAGGGGGTATATGTGGGCTCACTCCTGTGAAACTGCAGTACCCACTGGTTTGCTCAAGAGCTGGAGGTGGTGACAGACTGAGCTAGGTATGACCATGGAACTCACTGATACTCATGTCAACTGGAGTTGGAAAGAGGCCAGGCTAGTCCAGGATGCATCACCTGCAGGCACACCCAATGACTGGGTAAGCAGCAGGCCTGGCCACAACATTCAACAGCTCAAACAAAAGGTCAAGACTGGGAGACAGACTGTGCCAGACAGAGGCCTATCATCTACTAGCATGCATGAGATCTGGGTTTGGTAGTGGGCCTGGTGGGGGAATTTGGGGAACTCCTGTAGTGGGCTGTAGCTTCCATTTGTGAGCATGTGATTCAGGTCTGTGTATTAGTCAGGCTAGGCAAAGCTGCCCTATTTGTCAGCAGGTGTGTGGGTTAGGTTTGGGGTCAGTGGGGAGGCAGACTGGCCAGGGTTGGGTCAAATCATAGCACACTAGCATGTACAGGAGCCAGGCTGGAGTGTAGGTCATACTGGGCTAGACTATCAAACTTACCAGTTTGCATTAAAGCCAAAGATGGGGCAGGCTGAGCAGGGCTAGGCTGCAGCACCCACCAGCAAGAGTTGGGACTGGGGGTGGGCCAGGCCAGGCTGTAGTATCTAATGGCAAGGGCCGAGCCAGGGGTTAAGCCATGCCAGGCTGGGTCGTAGCAACCACTGGCACACACAGCATTTGTGGCTGAGAGGAGGTCTGGTCAGGAAGCTAAGGGGATGTTCATGATGGGCTGTGGTTCCAACTGGTAAGCATGAGAGACAGGATTGGGGGCAGACCATGCTGAACATGGCTGCAACATCCCTTAGCATGTGTGCAGGCTGTCTTGAGTGTGCCAGACCAGGCTAGGCTCTAGCACCTACTAGTACTCAAAGAAACAGAATGGGTATGAGACAGGCTGGGCTAGGTTGCAGCACCTGCTGATCCACATGAGAGCCAGGTCTGGAGGTGGAACAGGTGGAGCTAGGCTGTAGTACCCACTGGTTAGAACCAGAATGAGTGCAGGTGGGTCTGTCAAGGTCATAGTGCCCAATGGTGAAATTCAGGACTGAAGGTGGGCCAAGTCAGGCTGAGCCAAACACCCACCAGCATGTATGAGATCCACAAATTTAAGCTGCTCTTATAAGGGAGCTTAAGGAACTTCCCTATTAAGACAAAGCCCCAACTGGTAAGCTCAAGAACCAAGGGCATGAGCACTCCAGGCCAAGCCTGACTGTGTACCCATCATCATACATGTGGATCAGGTCTGAGGGCGTACAGGCTTGGCCAGTTTACAATACCTGCTGGCAGGTGCGAGTGTCAGGATGGAGTGCAGGCCAGCAAAGGTCAGGATGCAACACCTGCCAGTTCAATTCAGACCAGGACAGGAAGCAGGCCAAGCAGAACCAGGCTGCAGCACCCACTGCAAATTCCAACGTGAGACAAACCATGCCAGATTGTGCCACAGCACCAACTGGCACACAAAAGACCTCAGGCTGGGAGTGAACCTGTTGAAGGCTGGGCCACTGCTCCACTGGGGCGTGTGAGAGTTAGGACTGGGAGCCCCAAAAAGTGCAGAAAAAGAAACTGGGTTTACAAATATATTTAATGAAATAATAAAGGAAAATTTCCCTAATCTAGAGAAAGAATTGGGAAACAAGATCCAGGAAGAGCACAGAACTCCCAACAGGTCCAATCAAAAGCAATCTTTACCAAGACACATGATCATCAAGCTCTCTTCAAATGAACATAAGGAAAATATCCTTAAATGTGCACGTGAAGGGCCCGGAGTGATGGTGTAGTGGTTAAAGTCCTCGCCTTGAATGCCCGGGATCCCATATGGGTGCCGGTTCTAATCCCGGCAGCCCCGCTTCCCATCCGGCTCCCTGCTTGTGGCCTGGGAAAGCAGTCTGGGATGGCCCAAAGCTTTGGGGACCCTGCACCCACTTCGGAGGCCTGGAAGAGGCTCCTGGCTTCGGATTGGCTCAGCTCCAGCCATTGCAGCCACTTGGGGAGTGAACCATCGGACGGAAGTTCTTCCTCTCTGTCTCTCCTCTCTGTATATCTGCCTTTCCAATAAAAATAAAATAAATCTTTTTAAAAAATGTGCACGTGAAAAAAATCAACTGACATATAAAGGAATGCCAACTAAACTCACAGGAGATCTCTCACAGGAAACTACAGGCAAGAAGAGAATGGACTGACGTAGTCCAGATTCTAAAAGAAAAAAATTGCCAGCCTAGGATAACACATCCCCCGCAAAACTTTCTTTTGTCTTTGAAAATGAAATAAAATTCTTCCACAGTAAAGAAAAGTTAAAAGAATTTGCCTCTTCCAAACCTACCCTACAATTGATACTTCAAGATGTTCTCCTGACAGAGAAGAGGAATAGCGCCCACCAAAACCAAAGGCAAAAGTGAAGAACATCCAAGTAAAATAACAACAGAAGACTAAACCAATGAACAACCCATTCCTAAAATGACAGGACCAAAGTACCACCCATACATATTAAACTCTGAATGTAAATGGCTTAAGCTTGATCAAATGGCATAGATTAATAGACTGGATTAAAATACAAAACCCATCTATTTGTTGTCTAGAAGAGACACATTTCACCAACAAATCAGCGGAAACTATATCGCATGGGTTTTGATATTTTCTCTTAATTTCATCTCTTCAAAACACTTTCTTCTGATTAAAATCTCTAATGACTCATAGGTCATACAGTAGCATCATTTTCTGCAAGAAGGTTCTTGATTTTCATTTCTTCAGCTACACGTTAGGCATTTAGTAGCATATTATTTAACTTTATGGCATCATAAATTTCTATTTTTCCTTCTATTGTTGATTTTGTATCATGACTTTTCATTTGAGGGGATGTTCAGTAGCTGTGAAATGGAGACTAACATATCCAGATGTGAGGATACAATGTAGTAAGCATTTCTACTTCCAGACAAAGATGGACTTGCAATGAAACTGTTTA